CTCGCCGACTGGAGTTACGGGAGGAAGCGCCCTAACTTTAAAGCCTTGTATCTCAAGAACTATCTACTTCTTACTAAGAAAACTTTTCTGTGTGTGTGTCTGTGTGTCCGTCTCAGACATTTACTTGAATAACTCCAAAGGGCATGGGACTCCTATAATGGTGTGTGGTATGTAGCCATGGACTACCGAGCGCTTCATGTCCATGGTGTCCTGGGCCTTTTAGCTAATCGGGAACCTATAGGGTTGAGAATCGAAAATTTCAAAATTATGTTGAAACTCACTAAAACTTCAGGGAATTCTCAAAAACGGTTTTCAGGCCTATCTACAGGGTGGCCGATAAGTATAGGACGTTTTGAAAGTGCTCCCGGACAAATCGAAAGCGATGCGACTCGAAAAATGCCGAAAATTACTCCAGCACTTTCAAGTGCGCCGCGTCTCTGACGTTATCTGGACAGACGAGAAGATCTTCACTATTGAACCTCTTCCCAACCGTCAAAACCAGAGACAGTTATTGTCAAAGGATGACAGCATGTCTCCGAAACGTCGTCTTGCCCATAACCGCCTTTTCCCGAAAAGTGTCATGGTTTGGGCCGGTATCACGGCAACCGGTAAAACTCCGTTGGTTTTCATTGAAAGAAATGTGAAAATCAACTCGGAGGTGTACCAAAAGATTGTGTTGATGGATAATTTGTTACCCTGGGTCACTCAGCACTTTGCTGGTGGTCCATTTATCCTTCATCAAGACTGGGCACCGTCCCATGGCTCGAGATCGACATTGGCCGTCTTGGAGGCGCATTTCCCTGGATTCCTGGACAAGAACTTGTGGCCTGCTTCCAGCCCGGATCTCAATCCGATGGATTTCAGCGTTTGGGGCATGTTGGAAGGGAAGATCGCGGGAAAAGTTTTTGCTACTGTCGATGACTTGAAGGCCGCTCTCGAGGTAGCATGGGCTTCGATCGACGACGGATACCTGCGGCGCACTGTCAATTCGGTGAAGAAACGTTTGAGAGCCTGTGTCAAAGCTCGTGGATCCAACTTCGAATTTCTCTTGTAAAATCAAATTTTCTGCTTATTTTTTGTTGTTTAATAAAGGTTGTTCTCGAAAAATCCTCAAATTGAAAAAATGGGAGCACTTTCAAAACGTCCTATACTTATCGGCCACCCTGTAGATAGGCCTGAAAACCGTTTTTGAGAATTCCCTGAAGTTTTAGTGAGTTTCAACATAATTTTGAAATTTTCGATTCTCAACCCTATAGGTTCCCGATTAGCTAAAAGGCCCAGGACACCATGGACATGAAGCGCTCGGTAGTCCATGGCTACATACCACACACCATTATAGGAGTCCCATGCCCTTTGGAGTTATTCAAGTAAATGTCTGAGACGGACACACAGACACACACACAGAAAAGTTTTCTTAGTAAGAAGTAGATAGTTCTTGAGATACAAGGCTTTAAAGTTAGGGCGCTTCCTCCCGTAACTCCAGTCGGCGAGGGAGGGGGAGACGCAGAGAAATTGTGGCGCGCCCCTTTCTCTGCGTCTCCTCAGCGAGAGAGCGGCGGCGTAAATTCTAAGCTATATATCTCGAGAACTACAAGAGCTACTGAAAAATAGGTCTAGATTTGTTTTCAAGGGTAATACTTGGGAATCATTGGTTGTTATCTTTATTCTGCCGTTCACTTCTTCAAAATCAAGTTTCAGTACGTTTCATTGATTAGGTTTCAAATTTTCAGGTAAGCAAACCACTCATCCACTCAACCTTGCGCAGTCAACGATTGTGAATTTAATAGTTGAATCGTAAGTTCGTACAAAATTAATGAAATTTCTGGTTTGCAAAAATATTTTTGCGTGTTTTCGAGAGAATTTTGAAGACATTTTTTCCTAATTGGTAAACTAGCCTTAAAACTACAGGGGTGTGCAGAAAAAAAGTGTTTGATATTTTCAAAATGTTAAAACTTTAGTTTTTCCAAAATCCAAAGTTTTTAAATGTGTGAGTTTTCGAAAATCAATTGTTTTCAATCACATTTTTTACGAAATTTCGACTTTTTCCGCACACCCCCGGGTAAACTAAATACTGACTCAATTGTACTCATGCCTTTTACAGATGTCATTTGCTATCGGCTCGTTAATCAAAAAACGCTTCCATGTGACATCACGTCTTGGAAAAGGTGGTTATGGCACTGTATACAAAGTGACCGATACCCAGGATGAAAAAGCGAAAGCGATGAAGGTGATTGAAGGATTCGACCCGGATTTGACTGAAATCAAGAATTTGCAAGCACTCGCGAACATTCCATATTAATTATGGTTTTCTTGCAGGAAATATTGGAAATATTCAAGAAATACAACGACAAAAACGGCGAATCAACAGGGACACCAAAAAGATGAATCTTCTGAAGCAGAACAGTTCAATAAGGTATACTTTTTTAATAATGAGAGTTTTGTTACAGTTTCGGATGAAATAAGAAACAAAAGAAAACATTAATTAGATTTCAAAATAGTTTGAAAAATATTTAATTAATAAAAGTGTTGGACTAGGCATAAAAACGCCGGCGGCCGCCGCCGTTCGCCGGCTGCAGCCGAGTCGTCGCAGCCGGCTAGCCGGCGAAACGCCGAAATTTTGCCGCCGTTTTTCCGCCGCCGCGCCGCCGGCGTTTGTTTTTCCCAGCCCTGTTCTAAGCTATATATCTCGAGAACTACAAGAGCTACTGAAAAATTTCCAACTAACAAAATGTGTGAAATTGCAAGCTATAAAATTTACAATTTTTGAAAATTCAAAAAACTTTATTATTTTTTGAGATACACCACAAAATACAAAATTATATACAAATTGAGTTTTCTCGAATTCTGGCTAGACTTTCAAATCGTTCCCTTATCACGTCTTCTTCCTTGACGCTTTCGGATTCTCTCAAATTCTCTTTTTCCTTCAATTCCACATCATTCTCTTCGATTTTCGCCCATTCTTGAAGATCTCCAGAGCCAAAAAAGATGAAAATTGCGCCGGAAAGTATATGAAGTAGTGCGAGGATAATGAAAATGTTCTTCCATTCCGAGAGCGTTCCCTTTAATTTTTTAAACCAATTTCATGAAAAGTCTCGTATCTTTAAAACCAGCAGAGCTATTGAAGTTTTTAAAACTACAAAATTGTAGAACATAAAATTTCACACATTTTGTTATTTGAAAATTTTTAGATATCTTTCATGGTTCTCGAGATACAGGGCTTAGAAGATAGGGCGCGTTTGTCGGCGAGGGAAGAAGAGACGCAGAGAAAAATTGGACGCGCCACCATTTCTCTGCGTCTCTCCCTCATTCTCCTTGCGAGGTTGGCTCGGCGCCTTAGCTTTCAAGCGTTATATCTCGAGAACTATAAGAGCTATTAAAGAATTTCCAACTAATGAAATGTTTCAAATTTTATGCTTTACAGTTTCAAATTTTCAAAATGTTTCTAACTTCCATAGTTTTTGAGATATGAGCGTGTATAGCTCGCTAACTTCAAAACGCTATATCTCAAGAACCAGCAATGCTACTGTAAATTGGTTAACTAGTAAAATGTTTTATTCTAGAAATTCCAGTTCTCTCACAAACCTCCTTCCTCATCAAACCCGCCACCGCAGGTGTCATCAAACTTCCAATCAACGAACAAAACATGGAAATCGCAGACATTGTTGCAGTATACTGTGGTGCTAAACTGAGCAATGAAGTGTAGAATCCACTGACAAATGTTCCTTGTGTAGCGTACATTCCACATAGAACCACGAGAGCAGTGGTGGGGTTGGAGCAGTCAACGAAGAATGCGAGAAGGAATAGTGTGAAGGCGCCACCGTAGCTAGCTGAAAATATTTTTAAAGATAGCTCATAAAATTTGACACATTTTTCTAGTTGGAAATTTTTCAATAGCAATAATGGGAGGCGAGTTATAGTTATATGCTCACTTTAGTTATATGCTCACTTTTCAAACGCCTATATCTCAAAAACCAAACGAGCTTTCAAAATTGTGTCAACTATCAAAATGTAGCATATAAAGTTTTACACATTTTATTAATTGAAATTTCCAAAGAGCTCTTATGTTTCTCGAGATACAAGGCTTAGAAGATAGGGCGCCGCTCCCTCGCTGTAGAGACGCCGCGCTACAATTTCTCTGCGTCTCCCCAGTGAGAGAGCGCGCCCTTTCTTCTAAGCCCTATATCTCGAGAACTATAAGAGCTATGGAAAAATTTTTAACTGATGAAATGTGTCAAATTTTATGGTCTATAGATGCAATTTTTAGATTTTCTCTAGCTCTCTTGGTTCTTGAGATATTTCGATATATCTCAATACTTACCAGCTCCTTGTGAAACCTTCACCGCTGCAGTGTTACTCAGAATCTTCATCTCCTTTAATTTATCAATTCCAATACCCCAAACAATCTTAGTGACCATATTAAAAATATTTGGAATTGAAGAATATGTGCCATTCTGAAAATGTAGGGTTACTGTACCTACAGTAATCCTGACTTACGGCAATAACTCCAAGATGCAGAACCTCTTTAAAATAGGAGGGAAGATAAAGTTGGAAAAGTGTCATAATCAGAGTAATACTAAAACTACACTGGATTTGCGCTAAAAATGCAGACGATGTGAGGATTTTGGCATATGGGACTGATGAAGACTTCTGGAATTTGTCAATAGAGCGAACTTGCTTGATAAATGGAAACTACCTTTGAATTATTGATTTTCTTCATTGTATTCGTTAATAGGTATTCTCTCTCTTTTTTTGTCATTATTTTGGCTTCTGATGGGTGGCTGGTAGCGGTAAAGAACCAGATAATGGACCAAATAGTGGCAAGGATTCCTGAAAAAGAAGCAAAAAGAATTTCAAGGAGGATGGACTCGAACTCGGGTGTCTAGATTGATAGGCGAGGTTCTTACACAGGTGATTCGTGATTGACCAATTACAGATGAAGAGCTATAAACGACCCAATTACTCACCTGCCACGAACTACTGGTTCTACAAATGACCATTCGCGAGCAAAATGCGTATCTTACTAACTGGCCCTATAAAAGGTCCACAATTGACTAATCGCGAAAAAATTCTTGTTTTTTCTTTTTCGAAGTTCTTTCATCTATATTGGGTATTTTTCATCGTTTTTTGCAGTTTTCTTTGCAATTTTTGTCCGTAAATTATTATTTAACCTACAAAAAACATACTAGAAATGGGCATGGTAGCTATCTGTCGACCTCCAGCTGCATCCGTATCCGGTCCGTTCGCGAACTCAGATTCGCGAAACTGCCCGTAACGGATCCGTTACGGATAGAAAACCTAGTGGACACCGAAACGGATCCGTTCGCATTTTACCTGTGGTGGCGCTAGCGGGCTGCGGAGCGAGGGGTGGTGGCGCCCTCCTTTCTATACGACAATCACCAGCTTTACCTCAATGGGCGCATTGGTCAATCTGGTTAGACTTTTGCCTTTGAATCTGGAGGTCGCGGGTTCGAACCCCACCTGTGGCTTTTTGTCTTTTATATCTTTTTTCGACGTTCTGAAGTGCTCGGGACTGTTTTTTTCAATGTTTTTTTAAGGTCCTACCAGCGAAATAAAAAGTGGCCTGCCACCCTAAATCGGATGCACAAAGAGCAGCGACCACAGGACTTCCACCAGCCGACGCAATCTGATTTCCAAGTGTAAAAATCGATAGTGCTGTACTCTTTTCAGCACTTGGAAACCAATTTCCGATTATTGCATTGTTAGAAGGCACTATGAATCCCTAGAAATAAATTTTTGAAGTTTTAAGACCTAATTTTTGGTTCAAAAAACCTCTCCTAATCCCATGGCAATTCTAGCGATAAAAACTGCAAAATATCCAAAATGTGTTGCCAAGAATGGGGTGGCTACAGTAAGAATTGTATAGTAAGCAATTGCAATTTGAAGAACTCGAGTCAACGAAAATCGCTCGATAAGGAACATCGAAGGAAGTGCAGTGATCACAGAACCCCAAAATGTTCCAGAGAAGATTAGGTTTTGCTCGTAGCTGGTCCAGACTAGGGTACCCTGAATGGAAAGGGGTATATCTCAAAAACTAGAAGAGCTAGAAAATAATTTTTAATTGGAAAATATAGCTTATGAAATTTTAAATATTTTGTTAGCTGGAAGTTTTTCAATAGCT